AGATTTTAAATTCAGAAATCTGTATTTCAGCTATGTGTTAGTCTGCGGTCGACCGCCACGGTCGACCGCCTTGAGTTCAGAAACTCAATATGTTTTTTTGTGGCGAGTTTCACGGTCGACCGCCGCGGTCGACCGCCTGTTGTCCAGAGCCCTAGTATTGCCTTTTTGCTGCTCGCGGTCGACCACGAGATTTTCACGATCGACCGCCGCTCTGTCTTTTCATTTCCAACGGCTATTTTTTTATAGCCGTTGTTTGGGGCTTTTGGTCTTTTGTTTGGGTTTCTTGGCTGAGTTTTTGGGAGGCTATAAATACCCCCTTGATCTCAGTTTTCAACCAAATAAAAGAAATGTTTTTTTAAACAAGTTTTAAAAGAGTTTAAGTTTATTTAGTTTGTTTTTGGGGTTTGCTATTACAAAGAGGAGTTTTCATCATCTGTTGAAGAGTTCATCTTCAATATCTTCTCATCCTCTCTTTGTGTTTATAGAGAAGTTTTCTAACTCTTTTCTCTAGCAATATTATTATTGATTTTCATATTCTTATTATTGCTAGTTTGCTATTTGAGTTAGATTTGATTTTACTCATTGTTTACACACACCCACATTGAGCTTATTGTATTTTCATACATAGTATATTTGGGTTGGTGAGAGTTGTAACAATTAAGTGTGAGCTTTCATTGTGTTCTCATCCATAGTAGAGAACAAACATTTATGCTTATTGTGAGATTCACTTTGTAATACACTTGTACACCGAGAGAAGTGTGTGGTGAGAGACGGGGTCAAATCCAAGAGAAGTGGCGTCGGTTGACGAACCTAGGGAGAGGTTGTAACCGAGCACTTGAGGGAGACACGGCTAGGTCCAACACTTGTGAGGGTGTAGAGTGGGTTTGCAATAGTGTGAGTTGTAGAGTTTTCGGTTAGCTAGAAAACCGAGTGTGTAGAAGTTTCGGCTTCCAAACCGGATTGTGATAGTGGATTTCTCCCCGGGAGTGGGGAGCGGAGACGTAGGACGGAAGGTCCGAACTCCGTGATCATATCGTGTGTTGGAGTTTACTTTGGCGCACTTAATCTTATGTTTATATTTCTTGTCGCCATTGTCCATAGCTCATTACTTATATCATCCACTATCTAGTTTATATTGTTTACCCTTGTATTAGTTTATATATGCTTGCATATATATTTTATCATATAGGGTATATCTCATTGTTAATATTGCTTATCCTAGCTCATATATCTTGTTGTATTTCATACTTGCTAGGATAACTTGTTAATTAATTTTAATTGGCATAAAATCAGATTAGATTAGCATAAGACCCTAATCACCCCCCCCCCCTCTAGGGTCTAACATAACGTTATTGTCGTGAGACGAAAATATTTCCTTCTGAGGATTTAATGTCTTGTTGGCGTCTTCAAGGGTCACACGTTTGGAGCCATGTTTTCATGAGCGTGGGACTTTAACGGGCTCCTGGTCTTGGATACACACCCCCAGGCGGGTGGAAACTAGAGTTTTCCCGACACGAGATGGCTTCGGCTTGTTCGGAGGGTGTATATGACCCCGAGGCTGAAGAGTCGCTCGGAGTTCATTCACCGAACCCAAGTGTTGTTTGATCTTAGCTTTGCCTCGATCCTTGTGCAAAGGGCCAAGGTGATTTGCCATCATTATTTTGAATCGGGAGGGATCCATACTGTCATGAGGCTTTACCGGAAGTGCAGGAGAAACCGAAGTAGGAATGGAGGTCGACAGATGCAGAGAAGTAGTCACGGAGCTGGTTCCTTGGGTGGGATAGCCTTTGGTGTCTCTGTCAGGTGCGAGACATCTTTGGCTATCTCGGCCAGGTGCGAGACAGCTTGGGCTGTCTCGGCTACATGAATTTTCTGCTATCTCCCGACTTAATTTTTGTGCAGTTTCGGACTTTGGAATCCAAATTTTGTGGTGTTTTGATGGTTCCTTGATCATTTCTTCCTTCTGTAACTTACGCGCTTCCCGCACAAGGTTTTGTGCATGTGCAAGTAGCGCACGATGTTTCTGGATTCACTCCTCAAGGGTTGAACAGGTCCTTTTGACTTGGATTTATAGGGCTTTGGATGCAGGGTATTTGGATAAGAAGACCCTAGGCTTGTATGCAAGAAGACCCTAGGCTTGTATTTATAGGGCTTTGGATGCAGGGTATTTGGATAAGAATGAATGATTTGGCTATATCTTCAGTTGACAATGGCCTAACCACTCTTAGATATGATATCAAGTCAGTTGGGAAGCTTAGACACGAAGAAATCCTGAGAAAACGCGTTAAAAATAACTTTTGGCGATTTCAGGCGCGCAGAAGGCTATGATGACCCACGTGGGCGCGGGACACCAATTGGTGTCCCGCGCGATCATGGGACAGTCCGGGACTTAGCCATTTTTTGCTTCCAAACTTGTATTTTTCTCCGTTTTGCATATCTTGCTGTCTAGTCGACTTGTACGCTTTGCTAACTTGTTTCGTGCGCTCGTTAGCTTCTTTATAGCTTTGGATGATCCCATTTGACTCGAATGATGATATTCATTGTCTTCTCTTTGTCTCAAACTGTGTACAGACACCTATAAGCATTTTTAGATGTCTACAGTAGCAAAGCCCTATTTTGGTCTTGTTCCGTTGTTTCATTGTTTCGCGCATCTCGCTGATTCATACGCTTCATCGATTCACTTCGTGCACTTTTTTCTTCTTTATGGCATCAGATAATCTCATTTGACTTATATGGTGATATTTATCATCTTTGCTTCGTCTCGAACTACATGCGGAAACTAATAGGTAATTTTTGACACCTATAGATACCCCTTCCAGAGTGTTTCAGCCTCATTCTTTTTATAGAGGATTCTGGAATACTTTGGATTAAATACGCCCAAGCTTCAATTCTTTGACTTTTTAAGCTTTCAATCTATTTAGTATTTTGTCGAATAGCTAAGATTCTTCTGGTGATACATTTAAAGTCTGACTGTTGTCAAAGTCTTGACCTAAAACTGAAGTCTTGGTTTCTGAATATAGCTCGTGTCGTTGAATTAATTTTGAACTGATCATCTTCATCGGGAGAATTGTCCTTTGACTTGAAATTTTATACTTTGCCTTATTTTGGTGAAATCATCAACGCATTGACGGTTGTTGACCTTCATTGTGGTGTGAATGTAATTGAGCCTTGATTTGGCAAAAATATCGACGTGTTGATCGGCGTTGCAACGCATTGACCGACATTGACTTTCATTACAATGCGTTGATCGACATTGACTTTCATTGCAACGTGTTGACCGACATTGACTCTCATTGTAACATGTTGACCGACATTGACATTCATTGCAATACGTTGATTGACGTTAACATAGTTTATACTCATACGTTAATTGGAGTCTACACAATTTAAGCTCTTAAGGTGTTGGAGCGTGGAGCATTAGTTTATACTCGTATACTCTTTGGAGTTTCAGGAATCAGTTTAATCTCATATACCCGTTGGAGGTTCAAGGAGATGTAGTTTAGACTTATATACTCATAGGAGTGTAAATACAAGCCTCAAATACGTCGAATCAGGTGAAAAAATAGGTGAAAATATACTGCAAAAACACCGTGGGACCAACCCTACGTGCGAGTCACATCGAGGTGACTCGCATGCCTGAGGTGAACCACACCAAGTCAGAGCGGTTGGAAGACCTATTTAAAGACCCGATTTTTCATCTTTTTCTCTTCTTTCTTCGCCCGCGTTCCCTCTTCCTTTTCCGACTAAAACTCCTCCCCTTTAAGGACTCCTCTCTCCTTTGTTCTTCCCCTCTTTAAATCCCGCTCAATCCTTTGATCTCGACCGACGAACTTCATCTCATGATCTAGGGTTTCAACCGCTAGTCTCCTCAAACTCGATCATCTTGTCGCGGGTTTTCCTCACTGAGTTTGTTCAATTCGGTTCCAGGTAAGCTTCTATCCCAAAAAAAGCCCTTAAATCTCAGTTCTTTAGGAAAGAAATGAAACCCTAAGTTGGGTTTTGAGGATTTTCGGTTGAGGCTTTGGATTTTTGCTCCCTCTTGTTAACCGCATTCAACCCTTGCATTTTTTCTTTCTTTGACAAGAAGCGAAGACTCCTTCCTTAGCATCTTGGGATTTTCCAGTCTTCTCTTTTATCATTTCCTCGACTTCAGGTAAAAAAACGCATCCTAATCCTCAATTAGACGAATAAATTTTTGATTTTGGGGGTAAGTTAGCATCTTAATTTGGTTTTAGATGAATAACTGAGGTCTTTGTTTGGGTTTTGAATCCATTGCTTGCATTTGAGTTGAGAATCGAGCTCATTAATTTGTTTTTGGGCATGGCTGAAACTTTTGGCTCTTGGGGGTTGGTTGATAACCTGATTTCACCAATTGCTTTTGGGTGTATTTGAACTTCTTTTTTCTTCAATTTCATCTCCTCTTTTAAGACTCTTGACTCTTCAATTTTGATTTCTTGAAAAGAATACAACCCAAGTTGGGTTTCGGGTTGGACTTTGAATGATGATGATGATGGGATTTTGATTTTTTTTCCCCTTCAAATTCGGCTCACACTCATTCCTCCTTTTGAATGTAACAGGTACCCTCATGGCCCTTCTTTGCTTTGATATTTGGGAATTTTTTATTTTTCTCTTTTTTCTATTTAAAAAGTAAAATAAGAGGTGTTAAGCTTTTTTTTATCATTCTGGCGTCGAGCTATTTTTCCGACCTCATATTTCTTCTAGAGAATCCCTTAATTGTTCCAGAGCAAGTAGAAAGAGATTCTTTAACAAGAAAGAATTCAGTTCAGATGTAGGATATCTATCCAGAAGTTTTTGCAACTCAATCATGTATGATGGAATCATCAAAGATTTGATATTTTCTAACTCTGTCTGTAACTCACTAGAGGCTCGGGAAACAAAGAGAAGATGGATACGAACGAGATATCCAGCAACAAGAAGAAGGAAAAGGATTGAATAGAGGAACTCCCGAGCATTTCTTGATCTCAGATGTGCCCATATCAATGGAACGGGTAACTCATTATTTCGATGAATCATTTCTTCGGACAGAAGAAGATTCTGTAAACACTTATTCGAAATCTCACTTATGGGGGGAGGGGCGGAGAACGTTGGTGTTTATCTATCTTATCTACTGGTTCGAACTCGCTCTTGCCACTGTCGGTCTAAGCGCAGTTGGAGGAATAAGAGAAGGCAAAGGTAGCCACTTCTGTCTTCCTTCAATCTTAAGCTCGTTTCCTCTTCAATTCAGGTATATCTACCCCTCAGGTTTTCAAATTGATGATCTTGAACTTCAATGTTTAATTTTGACTTTGGTGGAAAATTGAAACCCTTGATTTGTTACATGTGAAAACCGAAGCCCCTTGACTTGGTTGCATGTGTCCCGCAAGCTTCATTATTGTTTAACCGAAGAATCCTAACCCCTTTATAGGATTTCAATTAACACTTAATTCTTGGTAAAAATAATCTTAGTTTTGGCTCTTGGATGTTGACTGAGATGCTTATGAGGTGTTTGGCTTTATTTGATTCTTGGATTTGGCTTCGTATGAAAATCAAAACATTGGTTTCAATTTTGGATGAGGGTTCGGTTTTAGGCAAGAACCAATACTCAATTTGATTTTGGGATTCTTGATTTTGGCTTTGGGAATCCTTAGCTTTATGATTGATTTTTAGTTCTTGACTTGAGAAAAACACTAGAATCTCAATTTTCAGTTTTGAGATTGGTTGAACCCTTTGCTTGATTGTTGGACCCTTTTCTTGTTGATTTTGTGCGAGGACCTTTGGATGATAACCGATATATCACTCTTGGCTTTGAACATAACTCATAATTTGTAGCTTGAATTCTGACTAAAACCCAATATCTGAAGTTTGGCTTGCAACGATGTTCAAAGCTTTAACTGGCCTTTGTTGGGAATTGAACTCAGGATATTTTATAGGTTTAATCGGGCCTTTTACTGAAAAATTCCATCTTTATAGAATTTTAGCAAAATTTTACAATTTCCCTTTTAATTTCTAATTTATGTACCTCAATTCTTGATATAATTGAACTGCTGACTTCTATTGTAGATTAGCTATGCCACTGAACCGTTTGCGCATTTCGAGGGGTCGCTTGGCTACTCATCCACCTAAGAGAGAGCCTTCATCATATAAGGGTAAGTTTTTGTCGCTTTTACTTGTGAATTTAAGATTAATATATTGCATATTATATCCTCTTTGCTCTCCTTTGTGAGGTATTTGGGAAGAGCTGACATCCTCCTTTGTGATGGTCGACGCTTAAAAGATATTTTTTGCTTTATCAAAACATATCTGAAAGCAATAAGGGGCGATTTTATGCTGTATCGAATTCCGTAGGACAGAGTATATTGTCGCTTTATTTGCGTGATAATGTACATTGTCCTCCATGTGCGTAATACAGTTGAAATTGTCTCGCCAACTACGGGGTAATAACTCTATCTCACGAATTCGTGAGATAAGTTCAACGCCTCATATTGTCTTAGAATATTCTTATAATCACGTCTAATAAATACGCATCATTTTATTTCAGTTGAATTCCCTCCAGATGCATTCTCCTCTTGTCCGGTGGACGGCCGCTACGGTGAGGTTTACGCCTCTTCTGATGACCCAATGCTCATCCCGGCCACTCCTCAATTTACTCAGGGTGGGCCTAAGGAAATTCTTTAGTTGGTGCGGAAGAGAGATCGTCGTACACTATGACAATTAATTACCTACACGCCATTAGTTAAAGATTCAAGTTTGACTCAACCTCTTAGGAAAACCGACTATCTATTCGGTGATTCCGTTGAAGATCTGGCCATTCTAACCCTTGAAACTGAACAGTGGTTAAATGATGATGGTGGCTTTAAATATTTTCCCTCGATTGCTCATCATCGTTCGCTGATTGATTTGTGAAAGCACGCTATAACACAGGAGATGTCATGGCACATGACGGAGGAATATACCTATGACCATTGCAGGTATATCACCCATCAGACGACTCCGGGCTCAAGTAATAGATATCACATCACTGGACTGCATCCTGGTGTGCTGGGTTTAGACAAACCGCCGTGAGGTGAGTTATTCACAACTGATAACACTGTAAGGAATCATCTCGCGAGATTAGGGCGAGAGATACATGCGACGGGTCATAAGTGTTATGGCTAGGTCCATTCCTCAGACAAGAGATGGTGGGCCCATATGATGAATTACATCCTTAGCCGGTGGAGTGTGGAGCTGAAGGCTAGTGGATTGTATGCAGCCATTCGCGCCACCATGTATGGGTCGCCATCAGTATGAACCATTTCATGGCACTATTAGAGCTCTACAATCCGGATACAAACACTTTCTTGATCAAGCACGGAGAGTTAGGATTAACTCTCCATAAAATGTACAAAGTTTATGGTCTACCAATGGGGGACATGCCATACCAGGAATACTTTCCCTCTAACCAGCAGTTGGATCAGATAAAGAAACGCACGCCCGCTCAATACGACACATTATAGGATCTTACGTGCCACTATCAGATAGCTCTGGTGGGTGTTGGCCCAATGGTGAAGAACAAATTTCCACAGATAAGTTTGAAGAAATTCATGGATTATTTGTTCAAGCACCTGGAGAGTAGCTCTGGCAAGGTGATTTGTGAACTGACGCTATTAAATCCCTCAGAAGTTAATGAATTGATTGATAAAACCGGTGCTCAATCTTATACCACTGCAGGGCAAATTTCCTAGGGGAACCAAATTTAGAACCTACCTATGACATGCACTAAAGTTAATTCATCCAATGACTCTTCTGGCCGGTAATCTCATACTCTAGTTGAAGAAATGCATGGTTATCGTATCACTCTACTGATGCCCTACCAGTATAGTGCTTTTTCTGGTGGTTCAGGTCACTTACGGAAAGAATATCTCTTTGCTTTCGGCGATTGTCATCGATATACACCGTGGGCTCTGGAAAATAGTTGTTTTCACACAGGAAGGAAATGCGCCATCAGCTCAGATTCCTCTGGTGAAAGTGGAACTCCCTTACGCATATCTAATGGTGTGGATGGTTCTTCATCTCTCCGACATGATGTCAGCATTGAATGTTGTAGACCCGTCCATTCCCCTGCTACGATTGCCAGAAGACTGGAAATGGAAAGGGCGACACTTCCAGGAGATGAAGAAGAACCTACAAATTCACAAGTGTTGGGTGTTCTCTATATGTTTCCTGTAGTTTTCTGGTCGGTACGGTGAGTCATTAATTAATGAAGAAAGGTCAGGGACAAATCAGACTTCTCTTAACATCGACTACTTCAGATGGTTGGTAAACATCAGGCCAGGTAATCTGATTTTTCGAGTGAGGGATCACTGCTACATAGAGCTTCATTTGCCTAGTCGGTTTGCTCGCCAGTTCGGCTATGATCAATTATACATTAGAAATCTAAATCAGCATCTTCAGACTCGTGGTGGACTAGTGGATGGTTCTCGAGCATGGCTATAGAGCATAACGGGTTGCATTGGTGCTAAGTTCAGTCTTCCAGGTACTGAACACCGGTTAGAGCTTATAATCTTGCGCTATAGATGGTTGTTAACCGCTAATAAGCCTGTTAAGCTGAAGGAGATTATGGAGCTGGTGGCTGAAGAAGCAGCCCAGATTGCTACTAGGATGGTTCACGACGCTGTGAATCAGGGGAGACGATGAAAAGAGCCCGTTGGTCCTTCCGATAAGGGCAAACAAGTAATGGAGGAAGAAGAGGAGATCTTTCCTTCTGATGAACAAACCTCAGAAGAAGATATTATAGGTGATGAAGGCATAGGAGCTGGCGACAAAAAAGAGGAATTCAGGATAGGTCTGTCGGACCCCTTTCTTAAAGAAGTGTTGGGCCTGGCGATTGCTGATCGGATTCACCGATCCAACTTGCCTAAGACTCCACCGGCTTCAAAGAAGTCAAGGCTGCAAGTTTTAATCACCTATCCTAACAAGATGACCGTTGAAATTCCAAGTGTGGCTTCTGAGGAGGATGAAGAGGAAGAAGAGTCTTACCTCATCTGCCAAACGAGATCTCGAACTACAGCTCATGTTGCTTCGTGGGTCGAGTCATGGTCTAAGTCTGAGCAGGAGAGACTAATTGCTCCTGAAGAGGCTCGGCCAGCAAAGCGTAAGAAGTTGGCACACAAGTTACGTATCGATCCGCGCACTTTCGAGTCAGAACCAGTTGGCGACGCGCCTATTGGGAGAGGAGGTAACCCTCACCTTTGCATAGCCTGTTAATTCTCCTATTCATTAACTTTTTAAACTTAAAAAATTCTGTGTTTCTTCGAAGATCATGAAGAAGGAGAAATCTCATACAACCCTCCTTCCCCCGGTTTTGGCTTTACTGAGGAACCTGGATTTAGACAACAAATACATGAGTCCATGACCGAGGAGCCCACGAGTGTTAAAGCGGGTGCAGCTATTAAAATCGGCAATGGCGCCGGTGCCAGACCTGATTCAACCATGAGGGTTTTAAGCCCAGGTACATCTAACACCGGTAGTACACTATTCAGGTGGCGATTATGGGAATTGAACGATTCAGAATTCGTGTCTCCCCTAATTGTTTCTATGCTTCATGCTCTTTTAGAGAAATTACAAGGAGTGGGCATGAGTGTTAGGGTCGCGGAACCCGCTACAGCTGCTGGAGGTAAGTCTAATTTTCACTAGTTGTAAATTCTTAGCTTTTCTTTCTTCTATTTTAACACTTAGACTTTCTATAGACGTCTCGATGGATAGTTCAGATAAAAAAGAAACCCTTCACTGTGTGGACATCAGAGAGTCAGATGCACCTCTGTTTGACCTAATACAAAGCTTATTCGAGGCTGATGATAGGCTGCTCGGTGATATATTATATGAGCAAGCATATCGCGAAGCCCCTGAACCAACTATTGAGGTTGGTTCACCCACAGGTACAAATCTTATCCCTCTATCGTAGTTATTCATTTATTGATTTTCCCATAACCATGGGGATTCTTAATTGTAGGACCAGTTGTTAAGACTGATACAACTACTACTATTGGGATGTTTGATGAACCTGAGGGTCTTGGTTTCTTGCTATTAGTAGGAACTATTATAGAAGCTCAGTCGTCAGTTCTATAGTCTCAGCTCAACATTCCTTCAGATCTGATGACCGTAGTAGTCACTGTGACTGCGGGGACAAAGCCTGTCGAACCAGTCGTGAGACCAACCAAAGAAGTTAGTGCGTCAATGGCTACCATATATGTGACACTTCTACCCATTCACAAGGCTGGACAGGCAGGACCAAGTGCGGGGCATCAAACCGACAAAACCTCTGCTGGCATTGGTAAGTTCCATCCCGCTATTTGACTTAGAATCATGACTAATATTTCAAAATATTTATCTCTTCTTTTCCTTGTAGGGCTCTCATCTCAGCTTCAAGTCTCGTCAGGGTGTTGCTATCAGATGACGACCCAGATCAAACCATTCTCTGCTTGGAAGTTAGCCATTTCTTCTCCTTTGTGAGCGTGATGATCGACAAACTCCTCCACAAGGGACTTTCTTTCCATTAGTTCAGGCCATTTCTCGATCCCAAAAAAGCTTCGATAAGGAATGCAGGAACCCCCAGATCTGGCAATGGCTATTGTTGATGATTTGGGTCATCTAGAGCGTGAATTTTAGAAGCTACAGGAGTTCCAAGCTATAGGTGCTCCTTCATACATAGCCGCTTAGATGGAATCTCAACTACAAACATGGCACGATACCCGAGCATCCGTTGGAACGCAACGAGGTCGGGTAGATCAGATGAAAGCATCCCTTACTGACAAGCTAGCAACCCTACGCAATCTTGATTCTTCTCTTGCATCAAGTAACGTCAAAATAGCTCAGCTTAAGCAGGAGCTTTCGACGGAGGAGGAGGCTCAGGCCATCTTGGAACTGGCGAGGGCTAATGAGGAGCACGCTCGAGTTGTGGTGTTCAGTAAGTTAGAACTCTCAGCACAGAAGTTAACCAAAATGGAGGAAGAGGCCGCGAAGACATTAGCGGCCACCGAAGAATCCTTCAAGGCTGGATTACAAAATGAGCTTGAGAGAGATTATATAGAGGAGTTGTCTAAATTAGAACAACAAGTCCTTAGTCATAAGCTTCATGTAGAGTGATTGCAGTTCTTGTATCTACACACTC